TACCCTTTTTTTGTTTCTCTTGGCTTAATTTTTAGCTTCATTTGAGTCTTGAATTCTACTCAATTTTTTATGGAATTGGGGAAAGGTATACAAGCTTCATTCCCATTAATCCCCTCCACTGTTTCTTTCCTACTCTGGATATTGTATATTATAATTGTGTTTAAGTTTTCGTATTATATGTTTGGAAGTAAATTCATCTTCCCATGATGTTACTATCATCAGAACATTATCCATATATTTATTAGTCTATCATAATCTAGGACAGCACTATCCAATAAAACTCAGTTCTGCAATATGGTAGTACTAGCCACATGTGACTATTGAACTCTTGACAAGGGGATAATCCTACCGTGTACATTGATATTTTTACTTTTTTAAAATTTCAACTAATTTAAAATTTAAATAGCCACACATAGCTAAGAGCTACCATATTTTACAGTGCAGATAGAAGACCTATGTAATTGACTTAGATAAATTTATCCTCCAGAATCCAAATTACTGCACAAGAATGGTTAATTTTAACCTTTATAAAAATCTTTTTAAAAAAGATTTTATTTATTTATCTATTTATTTATTTAGAGATAGAGAGTGTGAGCAAGGGGAAGGGCAGTGAGAGAGAGAGAATCTCAAGCCGACTCTGAGAGCTGAGTGCAGAGCCAGATGCAGGGCTTGATCCCATGACCCTGGGATCATGACCTGAGCCCCTAAGCTGAAATCAAGAGTTGGTCTCCTAACCGACTGAGCCATCCAGGCACCCCTTTATAAAATGTATTTTTAAAGAAAAATTATTTGAAATTTTTTTAATATGGGGCATTTGTCTCTTCATATTAATAAAATAATGGCAAGGTCATTAATGAGAAATTTAACTGTTAAGTGATGTTACTATTCTTTTTTTTTTTAAGCCACAAAATGTCTTTTAAAAAATAAGACTATTTATGCTCTTAGATATGAGTTTATCTTTAAATTATCTTATAATTTAATTTTACATTACAGATTTATACTAAAATTGTTTTCTTTCAGTAATCATCCTGGTTATAAAAATATCACATCAATAGAATGGTTTTCCTAACTATGAGGAATTGGGAGTCAAATAATATTTGATTATGTATTTATTACAAGACTTAACTTTTTCATTAATCCTTGTATACAGTATGTTAATGTTCATTAATGTTACACATTTGGGAGTCTATGATAAAATAGTAACTTTGGGGCAGTTTGAGGAATTTTAATAAAAAAATAGATTGGTAGTTTCTAGTGTATTTAGGGAAAGGAATTATCTACACTACTTTGACATTTTTCTATATCACCAATGAGCTCACATTTTTTCCTCTGCTTTTAGTAAAGAGTAAGTGATTTTAATGGAAATGAAGGAGATTGTCTGACATGCAGAAAAATCAGATATCAATTTTACTATGCATCGTGGAATATTATCTCTTTCTATATTGTTTATTAGTGCCAGCATGGAGATTGCAATCATAATGATACAAATGTAATTAAAATCTAAGAAAAATGAGTGATAGATTTGTACTGCAAAACCATAATAATAAATACTAAGTTTTAAAATATATAATGTGGAAATTTGTCATCAGATAAAAACTCAATGCTAATTAATAGTTTATCATTATAGCCAATTTATTAATTGTAATTTACTTGACTGGGAAAAGAAGCCAAAAAATTAATTAAAACTTGCAAAACTGCTGGTAATATCAAGGTATTTATTGTTCTTAGATTAGCCAAAAATTATTTTGTGTTGTGTGCTAATATTTTTAGTTGACAATATTTTACACCATGTTTTCAAAAATATATATAATTGTAGATCTGCAGGTTCATATGTAAACTAAACACATGACCACCTGGACCATCTAAAGTTCTTTGGAATAATCTGTGGTTTGATAGACGATGGAAATGTGATCTCCGATATCTATAAAACTTCCTTGTTCTTTGCCTATACTGTTGGAATCACCCAAACCTATTTATAAATTTAAATACAAATTATTTACTTCTACGGGCGCCTGGGTGGCTCAGTCGTTAAGCGTCTGCCTTCGGCTCAGGTCATGATCCCAGGGTTCTGGGATCGAGTCCCACATCGGGCTCCCTGCTCCGCGGGAAGCCTGGTTCTCCCTCTCCCACTCCCCCTGCTTGTGTTCCTGCTCTCGCTGTCTCTCTCTGTCAAATAAATAAATAAAATCTTTAAAAAAACAAAAACAAAAACAAAAAAAACAAAAAAAAAACAAAAAAAACAAATTATTTACTTCTATAATGTTCGTAATCACCGAAGTTTTCTAATGTATTAGGAATCTAACTGTTTAAAGAAGATATAATTAAAATAAATTAACATTTTTCAGCCATAAGATTATCAATAATATGGCTTTTATATTTAAAATTTTGTTTTGTTGGGGTGCCTGGGTGGCTCAGTCGGTTAAGCGTCTGCCTTTGGCTCAGGTCATGATCTCAGGGTCCTGGGATCGAGCCCCACCTTGGGCTCTCTGCTCAGGAGGGAGTCTGCTTCTTCCTTTGCCCTTCCCCCCTGCTTGTGATCTCTCTCTCTCACTCTCAAATAAATGGATAAATTTTAAAAAAAAATTTTTTTGTCTTGTTTTTACATAGCATCTAAAATCACAGAGGTATTGACCTCATTTTAAACTTTACAATTTTACACTAAGCTTTATGTTTTAACCTAGTTTTAATAATTTAATGTATTAATATTTGTTTCATTGTGATATATCAGTTTTGTCAGATGAGGTCATATTTGGTAACCACATTTTAATCTTTTTTAATTTTAATTTTTTTAAAGATTTTATTTATTTATCTATTTGACAGAAAGGGAGTGATAGCAAGAGCAGGAACACAAGCAGGGGGAGTGGGAGAGGGAGAAGCAATCTTCCCGCTGAGGAAGGAACCTGATGTGGGGCTAGATCCCAGGACCCTGGGATCATGACCTGAGCTGAAGGCAGATGTCCAACAACTGAGCCACCCAGGCGTCCCTTAATTTTAATTTTTTAAAAAGATTTATTTATTTATTTTAGAGAGAGAGAGAGTCCATGAATGGGGGGAGGGGCAGAGGGAGAGGGAAAGAGTCCCAAGCAGACTCTGTGCTAAGCCAAGGGGGCTTGATCCAATGACCCTGAGATCATGACCTGAACCAAAATCAAGATTCGGACACTTAACTGGCTGAGCCACCCAGGTGCCCCCATTTTAATCTGAAGCAAGTTATAAATGAATACACATTTGATTACCTAAATTTTATCTCAAATTGCATATATACATATATTTTTGTCAAAAGAAATCTGATGTATTCTTTTCTAGTCTCCCTTATTATTCTCTTTTGGTTTTCCCATTTTCATCCTTTTTCTCTGTTTCCCTTCAGTGCTCTTAAAGATTTAAATATTACCCTAGAAGCCTTGCATGCTTTGAGAGGTGACTCACCAAAATGATTGAGCCACATTTTTTAAATCATTTCTTAACAAAGACTAGTAAAGGGCTCTTTTCTGATCTGAAATTTGAAATTGTATTTCTCTGCTTTTACATTATTTTTCCTGGTATTTTCCTCCATCATGGTCATTCCTACTTCGCTTCCCGATTTCTCCTGCCTACTCTAGATTCCCCAGACAGAAGTTTTAGCATGATTTGCCATTCCTTATTTTTGTACTACACCCAGTTTGTGTTATCTCTACTCAGCCTCCTAGGCTATTAATTGAGTCTATGAAAGCCAAGTGGCTGCTTTTCAATTCTTTCACTTTTATGTTATTCATTAAAAATTTCCTAAAATAGTCAGAACTTTTCTCTCTTCAAGTCACTGTTCCATTGTTTATTTCCACACTCTAACAAAACAACATGCTTCCTCCTTTACTTAGAAGAATGAGTCAAGCTGACATAAGTTTTGCCAACTCCCCACCTGTGTACTTCATCTTTCTAAGCTTCTAGAAATAAGTATCTAAAAATCCCAGATATTTTTATTGGTGTTCGGGTCATGAAGATGAATGCTCTTAAGGAGCTCATGGTCCACTGTGGAAAATGGACAAGAAACAAATAAGTATAATAGCAGAGGATGGAAATGTACACTGTTGAAGCATAAGGGTAGGAATGTCTGAATCTCCATGAATTTTCACGAGATGATAAGAGAATGGTAAGAAATCCTCTGTGGCTATATTACATTGTTTAGGATAAATAGGCAGGTTTTTATTTATTTGTTTTTTACTTTGATGGCAATGAATTAACTCTTCAAACATGCATTCCTTTTTTGACAGATAGACCATGGAGACATTGGGAATGGAAGGAAACAATCATTCTCTCAATGAACCACCAATAGTGTCAACCCAATTCCATTTGTCTGTTTCATCCTTTCTGTTCTATGGCATGGTGCTCCATGTCAAATATTCATCTCTTAGTAACCTTATATTCCTTTTGATAAGAGTCTTTTGATCTAGAAGGCCGCAGTGGTATTTACTTTTAAATAACCTATTTTTCCTCTGTATGTCCTTGGACTTGGGTAAATATGTGCTTGAAATCAGAGTAATCTTTACCAAAGAAATTCACCAAAATGAACAAGAACATCATATTTATGAGCTTATTTGTTGCTTTAGCTGATACTCAAGGGTATATTTTTGTGTATAGACTTAAGTAGAATATAGCAATCAAACGTGGAGCTAAAATTAGCAGAGATGATGTCACGGAGGAAAGGGTTTTTCATCTTTGATCATTAGATGAATATGACAATGTATTACAAAGATCAACTCAGTTGCTCTTCTCAAAACTCAGAAGCTGTAGCTGTGAATTCTTTTGAGGCACCTCTCTTCAATGCTGTGATGTACATTTGGTTACCTTTGGGTCAACACAAATAACGCTTCTCACCATTCTGTAGTATGATATTGTGATAATATAGCTGTTTTCCTTTGACAATTAATGTGGTCAGATTCTAGAATGTTTAACAGAATGAGGATAACATTATTTATATTTATTTTCAAGGAATAATTTGAATTCACTCTCCCTCTTACATTCAGGTTCAAAACATTATTTGTGGCTGGAGAACGATGTGATGTGGAGACCCTGGAATGGTCCAAAAAGGTCTTCAGAGTACCTGTCTTAGACCACTGGTGGCAAACTGGTGAGCATTTCCAAGAATGTACATAAATATTATGAAGTGTTCAAAAACACTGCAAGGACTGGAGGAAATTCTGAACTATGACCACCAGGCACAAACTCAGGACTTAGGTCATTCTGGTTTCAGTAGAAATAAGCTATTCTTTGGTATTCCTTCCCCCCCACCCCCAGACTTATTTATTTATTTATTTATTTATTTATTTATTTATTTATTTATTAGAGAGAGAGCATGAGCAGGGGGAGGGAGAGGCAGAGGGAGAAGCAGACTCCCCACTCAGCAGGGAGCCCGACGGGGGGACTGGATCCCAGGACCTCTGTGATCATGACCCAAGCCAAAGGCAGACGCTTAACCAACTAAGCCACCCAGGCGCCCCTGGTATTCCTTTTGTTAAAAATGTCTCTGCAAATGACATTGATGACGCCACCCTCTCGGTCCCTAGTGTAAAGTGCTGAAGACCTCTTCTGCTTCTCCTCCTCTTTGCTTTGTGTATATCCAGTAAGGCACTAAATCTCAGATATTCCTGGGAGGTATCTGTTGGATTCGTACCACCTCAGTACTCCCACTGCCTTTGAGCTGTGGCAGCTGCATTGTTATCTGCCCCGATTTAAATTCTCATTATCAGCCACCTCTGTTCCCTCTGCTCTCCTGTACCCTGCACACTGGTCCCAGAGTACTTTTTTTAAAGCACTGTTTCTCTACTAAGATTTTCTGTCATTCTCTAGCTCCCTTCTTGTGGCCCATAAAATCAAATCTCTTCTACCTAGCATGGAAGACAAAGAAGTGTATCTTTTTCCAAAACATTTATCATTATATACATAACTTACTTATTTACTTATTTTGTTTATTTATTCTATTTTCCTCCCACTAAGTGATCCTTGGGAAACAATTCTCATATTAAGTGGATATAACATAAAATTTGGTACAAATTAAAAAAAAAAAACAAAGCTCTCTGCTGCTTCTTTTGAGGCTCAGTTGTGTACATTTGTGAAAGTCAGTAGATTATCTGGAACCTGTTTTCCCCATCACGAAGTGTAGAGATTTTGTTGGGTTTTCCATTTGACCCACTAAAAGTAACTGAGAGCTATGAGAACCTTGTGGCTTTCCTCCTTACATATTTTAGTTCAATTCCACTTGGTTCAACAAGTTAGATTAACCCTCTTAATGTTTTCAGAATTTTCATCTTCTGAGTAACTGGGGCAGAGTATCAAATTTGAATAAAAAATTAATAAAGTTTCTTTGCAAAAAATAAGCCTGATTTTAAAAATAATTAAAGTCTTAGAAGATCAAGTGAGTGACTAAAACTAAAGTTCAGTGTTCGGTATTTTAAAATTCTTTGATGCTGATAAATTATCCTTTTGACATTATCTGTTTGCATATTGTTCTTTGGAAAAACATGTTTTCCATACCCATTGTAACATAAAGTATAAAATGAGTGATCAGAGTGAAATACAGTTTCCTTTACATAAAAGGCAAATCAGAAAGAGTTTCTATTCTCTCTAGTTTTATTTGCCAGGGGAGAAATTTCTTATCTAAATTCAGATTTGTAACTATTTAGGAAATAAAAAAGATAAGACAGAATTCAGAGAAAGAGCAGTGTCATATGTAGACATACATAAAAACAAGTGAAGAATTATTGCCTCTGAAAAGAAAAGTATTTATAGAATTGCTGCATCCTCTATTCACCAGGAAAGTTCTAACAGTTACTGTCTTAGGCAGGCAGAGAAAAATATCTTGTCACTTTTAAGATGGTTTTCCTTTCGTGGTCAAAGCAAGGGGTTTTTTCCCACACAGTGACCTTATACAAGTGTTTGCAGAAGAGTTTTGTTTTTCCCCCATTAAAGGTCACTATGCCACAGCCTACTGAAGGGAAACCAGCACATTAATAAATAAAATCATGATTCTCTTCCTTTTTCTTAATATTGTTGTACATAGTGGCCTGTGCAGATGTATGTAGTTTGTGCATCCAGGCTTACAAAAAAGCTTACTGACACCTGAGAAACAAGCATCTGAGGTCCCTGGCGGGTACTGAGTTTCATGTGAATTTGCAGTTTTTCTTTAACGTATTGTTCAGAGCAAATTAATAGCCACATTATGCCAGGGTGCTGTCACTTTAATCAGGTTTGAATGGCTGCTCAGTACTGCGGAAGACAGTAGATTTCTACTAGTCACAATGGATTCTTTCTACCCCCTCCCATCTGATTTTATAGAATTTGATATTGTGTCCAATTAATGTACACAAATACCTACACGTAGAGAGGTAGGCAGTAGCCGGCTAGAGAGATCGTTTTATACTTTATAAAAGAAATTCATCCTAGGTGATGCAGATGTCAGCTAATAACAAATCTAGTTAGAATTTTTATTCGGTTGTCTAGAGGAAATCATTATTTTCAAAGATGTAGGTTGTGGTAACTGCAAAGTGATACTGAAGTTTAGTATTTGCAGCTGTTCACCTTTCTTAAGGTGATACCACATTAATGTTGAATTGCCCAGGGGTGGGGAGAGGGAAAGGCAGGTACTTTTTGGGTTATTATTAACTCTTAGGAAAAAGAAAGGAAAGTTCAATATTTCTGGCACGGTCATGAATTTCCTAATGTTTTACATATCAAATGGTTGGGGGTGCATTTCCACAAGATGTATGCTAGTAAAAACCTGATAACATTTGAAGGAATGTTAAATGTTGGCCAGAGGAATACTTTTCATTTCAAATGTCAGGTTTTCTACAAGATCTCTCTTTTTTTTATTTAGATAATATATTTTATTTGACTTATAGCCAAATATAAGCATCATGATCATTTCAACATGTAATCAACATTAAACAATATTAATAAGCTGTTTTATATTCTTTATTATTGTACTAAGTCTTCAAAATCTGGTGTAATTTGCGCTTATAGTACATCTCGATTCAGTCTAGGTACATTTCTTTCTTTTTTTTTTATTATGTTATGTTAATCACCATTCATTACATCATTAGTTTTTGAGGTAGTGTTCCATGATTCATTGTTTGCGTATAACACCCAGTGCTCCATGCAGTACATGCCCTCTTTAATACCCATCACCAGGCTAACCCATCCCCCCACCGCCCTCCCCTCTAGAACCCTCAGTTTGTTTCTCAGAGTCCATAGTCTCTCATGGTTCGTCTCCCCCTCCGATTTCCCCCCGTTCATTCTTCCCTTCCTGCTAACAAGATCTCTTTTCTTTTTATTGACTTAGAAATTGATTTTTTTATATAACTGTACACTTTTATGAGCCTTCCCTACAATGTATAATTTATGAATTTGCTCTCTGTTTACATTAATATATGTGCACAAATGAGCTGTTTCAAAATGGTGATGTATGATTTGGAATTAATTAGGGATATGTTAAGTAACTAAACTGTATGAATAAAAATTGATAAATTCCTGTGACTTGAGTTATAAGAAGGTATTGTGCATGCAGTCAATCCATTTCATTACCGTGTTGTTTTCATTACATAAGTGAAATTTGTATTAGTGACTGCAGATATCTAGTGACTAACATTCTCTTTGGCCCCTTAATAGCAACACTCTTTAATATCTGATATGTAATACCTAAGATTCTAAATTGAGAAGTAATCTGTGGAAAATTTGAGAACCGATCAACTCCTTGTAGGAGCATTTCAATAAAGACCACCGTTCAACATGACTAAAATATTAAGTGCTTATTTTGGGTTGTCATAGTGCAAACATTAAGTGCTTTCATAAAGAAAATTCATCTTGCTAAATTTAGACGGGGGGTTGTATCCATTTGGTTCATAAATCTGGATAAAAGACAAATTGTTGCATTTACCCAGATGTTTTATCTTCCCAGCAACTTATCTATAAAATGACTGAAAACATCTGGATTATAGACTGAATTTTTCATTTTCTTTTGTACATAGAGAAACAGGTGCTACAATCATAATTTAAAAAAGGGAAATTAAGGGAATAGATAATTGTCCCATTAAGATATGGTAGTTCATGTGCAGAAAAAAACAAACAAACAAACAAACAGCCAGAACTTCATTATCCTCAGGTGTACAATCACCAGGAAAACACTGTACTGTTATGAGTCACTTTTAGCTTTTCCAGAAATCAGATACAGGGCACCATTTTGGAAAGAGAGAGCTGTCTGCACGGTGCATGGTGTCCTTTGCAGGAAGGGTTTTATTTTTTTGTTTTTTCTGACTGAAGATAACTATGAAGGAATGGTTTTCCTTATGAGTGAATGACCAAGTACAAACAAACAAACAAAAAGCTTCCTTCAATTTCCGAGACTAGTTACTAAAACCCAAAACATCGTAGACCTTACACTTTTCTGAGGTTTTCTACCTTTCCTCTTCTCTCCTGTCCGTTCCATCACAGCTATTTACTGAGAAGCTATGATGCTGGTTTAGAAATGATTGCAACCAAACAGCTTGGCGTCCCACTTTTTAATGTTATTTATGTAGAAACACTATTTCTTCACATGACATCAGTCAGTTAATTAAAGCCAACGACTGTGAGGTTAGAATACTCGAGTTCCACGAAAGCTTCTATAAAGGACAACTTGGTAAAGGGTTGAGATGAAAGGAATCCATGATTCTTCCCATCTGCTGCCAGAATATTATCTGTGTGGTTCCCCTCAGAAGATACAGAGCTGACACTGAAAGTGTTTCAAGTACCTTCTGCCCAAGTAGAGAGGAAGTAGTAGAAATGACATAAGAGCTGCCAGTTGGAGCAGCAACAGGGTGATTTTGTTGTTTGTCTGTTTACTTGTTTTGTTTCTATCACTTTAATGGGGGAGTAAGATTCTTCATAGAATTTCAAAAGCCCTAAGGAGGGATTTCAATGAGAAAACAGTAGTCACCTAATGGACTGAGACATTGGTGACAACTTAAGTTACTGATCTTTCTTTATCTGCCTTGAGCCATCTTTGCTGAGTTCTTATGTCTTAGAGTAATCACAGTATTTCTGTCTCTGTTTGATTGAACTGCTACAGTTTTAATTGCAATTGCCAGTTCTGAAGTC